GAAAAGGCGCTGGCGCCCTCCCTTCATGGAGGGCCTGGAGCTGCTCCCCTGGTTGGGCAGCACCGGGGCTTTCTCGGCGCTTCCCGAGCTGAGGGGATTAGTGTGTCCGGTGGTCTGAGGAGCGGGGTTGGGGTTGTGACTCCGGCCGGTTCCCTGTGGGTACCAGGGGGTTAACGCTGCCTGTGCCTGTCGGGGTGTCAGGGCTTCATGTCTGGGAGGTGTACGAGCAGTGTAGCCACAGGCGGGGGTACAGCGGGGAAGGACTCGGTGTGTAGGAATGAAGAGGAGGTTTTTTCACTCAGCAGCAGGAGAGTGAGGCTTCTGCAGGGGAGTGGGAGACCCTGACCCTTGGAGCTTGTCTTGCACAAGGAGGAGGGGGGTGTGTGTCTGGGAAGAGGTTGTTTTGAGCTGCGGTTTAATGTTTGGGATCCTTGGGTAGGTTTTTGTTGTGGTTACAAGGGTTTTTTTAATTTTAATTTCTCACTCAGATCATTTAAGTGTCATCATTGTTTAGTCTTTTCCATACTCCTGTAAAGATAGTTCGTTTACTTAATTTAAAACAACAGAAAAGCAACCCCACCATCCCCCAATGCCCTGACATTAAAGCTATTCTCTACACTGGCGTTAGGTCAGTCAAGAATTCAGCTCCTATTGGTAGTTCAAATTATTTAAATATACTGTTTTCCTTTGAATAATAAACTTTTATTTGTGACGCTGTGAAATTTTATCTTTCAATGGGGTTATGTGAAGCTTGGGTAATTTGTAACTTGCTGTGTGTCTTACTAAGAGAGCACAGTTGGAGTCCTGGTTAACATCTGTTCAATTAAATTAACGTGTTCAGAAACCTCTGAAAACGTCCATGCACACACAAACTGTTAGGAAAAATGCAAAATACATATGGAAGATAAATTCAGGGCTTGAAAGAATTGAGAAAAGTGTATAAAACACTTATTAAACTAGAAATCGTACTTCTCTGTGGTTGTTAAAATCCTAATTGATATTTAAGGCAATGGCATCAAGGATGTTTTGTTTAACCTGTTATATTGAGAGGAAAAGGGCCATGTTCTGTGAACATGTGTATTTTGACCTTTCACAACAAATTTAGTGGAAGCATTCTAGTTTTAAAGCTTCTTTTTCTCTGTTGAACAGTAATGTAGCTATGATCAGGGCAGTAAACAGTTCCACTGGAAATTAATAAACTTTTTTTGATAACCATTATTACTATAGAGATATGTGCTATTTAAAATAAATGCCAGAAATTGTACTAAAAAAGAATAGGAGAGGCTACACGTGCTGTAATGTTGAGGTATGTTCACTTAGAAAGATGCAAAATAAGAATATTCATAGCAACATAGTAGAAGCTATAAACGATAATTCAAGCATGTGGAAGTATTAAATCATATTTGTTCTCATCAACAAATTTTATTATGGTTCTGTTGTTCTATGAAGTTATGTTTTTATGAAGGAGAATTTAGATGTCTAACAGCATTAAACTACTTAACATTTCTGCTGTCTCTGCTTCAACTGGCTGTGAGTAAAACCAGTTGAAGAGCAAGCATGTAAAATCAGTTCTTAGAGTGAAATCCAGTTTCAGTTGTTTATTTTTGATAACTCTTATTTTCTTGAATATTTGATGACTTTATCAGTGGTCTTTCCACTGTGCCAGACATGATCAACCTTCAGGCTCTGGAGGTTATGGAGAGTTATGGTAGAGATTTTGGGACCATTTTGGATCTCAGTCTTCTGAGGCAACTCAGGGTGCTCAGTGAATAACGGCAAAGATAAACTTTCTGGGGCAGCAGCAACCTTCTTTTGGCTCTCATCTTTGTGAGACACCTTGGTTTTTTCCCCTTCCACAGTACTTCTTTTCAACCATCCTATGAAGTGACAGGAGTGGCTGAAAGAAAATTGTGAAACAGGAGGACACCAAGGAGAATAACTCATCTCATCCAGAGTTCTTTGTGGCCCTGAGATGACCTCAGGAAGGAGAGCTGCAAGGAACTGGCTTTATTAGTTATTCTGGTGGCAGCAGTTTATGTCAGCCTTTTTCCCAGATCTGCACTAAGGGACATGGAGATGTGTCCATGTGTGTGTACTGTGTACCACAAATGCAGTGCAGGAAATCTGTGAGAGTGGAAGTTGAGTCTTGACCTTCAAATTTGCAGAGGAAATCAACTTAGGGGTCAAACCACAAGGCACCAGACTTCAGAAGGGTCTGGGAGGTGGTGTAAGGATGACATTGTGGGGAATATGGAGCAGGCACAGAAACCAGAGGCTTCAGAAGGGTCTGGGAGATGGTGTAAGGATGACATTTTGGGGAATATGGAGCAGGCACAGAAACCAGAGGTTGTTAAACTGTAAATCAAACTGAGCTGCTACATGGCAGGTTATATCCTTTCACCACTCACCAACAACAGACTCTTCCAATGTGTTTTTTTCATGGTTGCCAATATTGACACTATCTTGTGTACGTTCCTCATCAGCAGATGGCATCAAAGTACAGCATCCTCTTGAATAGTAGTGATGCGGTCGTGTGTGGTGATGAGTAGAAAGGGAGCTCTGCTATTTTTATCACTTGAGCCCATTTTGTCTGGTCTGCTTCATCACAGAGGTGCAGTCATTTAGGCAAACTGGTCACAGAGACTCAGTCTTCGTAAAATTCTGCAAGTAGAGAATCAAGGGCTGAAGTGCTTTCCTGCAGCACTTGGATGAATGTGTTGCTCTGGAAGAAACTTCACAGCATTAAAGCACATCACCCTGGCTTCCTGCCACCTCTGCCAGGTAAGGCAGCTGGATGTCATGGCTGAGTGTCAGAGGAGGATGGCAGGAATGTCTGGTGATGGGGTGAGATCATTCAGGGCTGCTGCTGGAGTGGTTTGCTCTGGATCCTGGTATGAATCCAGTCTCTGTGAGCTCTAGGATACTCATTAGATGAGCTTGTAGTTGGTCTTTGGTAGCTTTTTTGAGCTTTCTGATAAAGAAGAGGTGCAGAGATTGGTGATAGTTGGTTAAGATGTACTTGATTTTATTCAGAGTTGGACAGACTATTTCCTTCTACCACCTTTTCTCTGAATGATGTTTCCTACTTCATACAGGAACACAGTGCTTCTCTGTGCTGATCATTTACAAGCCAGTAAAAAGATGAGTCAGGTTTGAGTTATTTTATAGCAGCTTCATTTTTCTGAACTCCTGTCCAGCTTCTGGAAGAGCAAGAGCTTCTAGAGGGTCCTGGTGTTAGGGAACACCAGGACCTGATTTTGTTGATAGATTGAAGTAAAGTATGTTTAAGATGCTTAAAAACTATACTGAAATGGGATGATTTTTCTAGCCAAGTAGAACTATTGGTCTTCAAAGACTTGGTCTTTTCTTGCATTTGGTTAATGGGGTTTAATTATCTTGGGTAGCTCCTTAAATTAAGATTCAACGTGTTTATAACTTACAGGAAGATTCTCTTTGTGTAAAATAAAACTTTACGATTTTAATTGGTCTTTCATCATATTTCTGTCTCA